ATTATTACTATATTATTATTATTATTATTATTATTATTATTTTAATTTGTTTTTATTATCACACCCTTGTTATAATCGCATATTTTTATGGTCCCAAGAGTGTGATTATAGCCAGGGTTAACTGTAGTTAAATCATCCAAATCAGCTTGATAAATCTTAAGATATTTGGGGTTAAAGGCATAAATATAGGAATCTGCAAAGTCACTATTATACAAAGAATAATTATCTAATATTTATGCCTTTAACCCCAAGTATCTTGAAATTCACCAAGCTAATTTGGATAATTTAACTACTATTAGAATTCTAAAAATCTCTTCTACAACTTTTCTTAGAACTGGAAGTAACTTTTACTTAGTAAAACTTTCTTTAATTTTCAAAAGATTGCTTTAGCAATCATATTATAGTTTTAAGTAAATCAGTTATTTGATTTAAAGAATATAGAGAAGAATTAAACAAAATTACTTAATATATTGTATATAGTTTTATAATTTTTTTTGTTAAAGAAATATCAAATACTAAAAAATATATATAAATCTCATATTAAAATTATATTTTATATTTACAGTATTTTCTTGAGTAAATTAAAAAAAAATATTTTTTTTGCCAAATTTTACATGTAAATTTGGGTAAGTCAACTCATTTGATTTACTGTATATTAAACAGCAACTAAAAAAACATGGTTCATGTCTGATAATACATAGAGAATTTTGCTTCTAAGTGAAGTTCTTGGGATTACTACTTATTTTTGATTATTTTTGCCTAGTAAATATATATAGACACTGCCAAAACGAAAAATGGCTTTTGCAGTGATTTTTATTTAGTGAAACATCAAGTTCTTAAAAAGTACTTTAAAGTGTATAAATAAGTTACCCGGGATATTGATTACGTCGACCAATCAAACGAATGTCCGACTATGACCGGAAATCCGTAATTTGCTTGACATAAAGCTATTTGGTTTGTTAAGATGCACTTAGTTGCGCCTATTTTAAGCTGCCCCTGTTTCAGCCTTCTTGCTGTTGAGGTCTTCAACATACCAGGATACCCCCACTTTACCCTCTTCACCGTTGAAGTTACTTCGCACGAATAAAAATTGTGCAAATTCAAGTCAACTTGATTTTTTTTTTACAGTATATTAGAATCAAATAGATAGAGAATTATGATATTGTGAAATAAAAATTGTAATTAGTAAGATTTTAATAAAGTTTTACTATAAGCAAATTTTGATAAATTTTAACTCCGACAGAATACCTCCCTCCACTTTATATATTGATAAAAAATTAATAAATTACTTTCTTTGCTACTGATTTTATATTCGTAATATTCGAAAATTTTTATAAAGTACTAATATTGCTTAGAATTATTCATTAATATAATGAGTGAATGCCATCTTCTTTTCAACTCCAGATATCTAATTTTAACCTCAAAAAAATTCAGGTGATAACTCAGTTTGAAAACTTCGAGTAAACCATCGAAGCTTCGAGTAACTTTAAAAACCCGAATATGTCGGACATGACGTTACTTTAAAGCGGTAATGTCATTAATTTAATTCGAATTTTAAATTCCAGTTCAGCCAATCAGAGTAACTGTATATATACACATATATATATCTCTGTATGTTGAATGAACTTTCCGATCAGATATACTGGTAACTAAGCGAATTTTTAATCACAGGTCGTAAAAATTCAGAGCTTTTTATCGTAATTCTAGTGTTTCCCTGTTCTAGTCTTATCATTATTATTTGCAATGTTCAATTCTTTTGAAGGCAATTTTAAAACACGCCCAAAAATAAATCTTGGAGGTCAGAGAGTGCAAGAGGACAAATCAACTCTTATAAAAAAGAATAAAGAACAACGTCGTGAACGAGACAACGAGCGTTTACGTCAGAAATCAGCTATAAGGATCCAGGTAATCTTTCGATCTTATTTTAAATTTATTCAATCGCTTGATCGAGGAATCTCAGCATGATCTATCTTTAGGCATTTTATCGTGGAAGAAATGTAGCAGGAAATTTGCGTAATAAAGAACGTGCCGTATGGGATCAAAATGCTGAATCTATTTTTCGTGCAGCTCATACTAAGTGGGATGTAAATGCCGCGGCTTCTTTGGTTGAACTTGTGCGCAGTTTCCTCTTTTTTTATCGTTCAACTCGTGATGCTCAACGCGAACTATGCTTGTGTCAGATTTTATGGAAGAAGATGTTCGGTGCATAATCTAACCTTGCTTTTCTTATGCGCTTGAAAGAAGGTATTTCTATAACAATTAACCATTCATAACATTTTAAACTTTTCTTAGATGTTGAAACAATATTTGTCCCATTTTATTACGAAGATTTGCGCAATACTTGGTTTCATCAGTTGAAAAAACTTTTGCTTATATTTATTAAAAGTGTCGGATCACAATCCATGTAATTAGTCTTAAACATCACCTGTCTATCGTAAACTACTCTTGTATGATTATACAGATTATTTATGTTCTCTATTTACTGTAGAAATCGTGATCACGATATAGTTGATTACTTAAATACTTTACTTTTGGCTGTGGATGTCAATAAGTATAGACAATTAGAAGAAGGTGGCAGGTCCGTATATGGTATATAGTTTATTTCTCTTTTTTTTTTTTCTCTTTCTCGAGTTTTTAAACATAATTATCAACTTATAATATGTATATTATAGAAAAATATCATTAGAACTTTTAAAATACCTTGTCAACCATGGACTCTACCTTGAATTAAGAAATCGATTGATAAATTTGGTGAGGCAATATATTTGCATTATTTAACAATAATCGATAGCCAAATCATATCGTTGTTGCTTATCTAACTAACTGAAAAAAAAAATAGGAAATCGAAAACAAAGATGAAAATAAACAGACAATCATGTTGATCATAAGCCTTTCACTTTATCCATTCCAAATCATACCCACTTCTGATCCTGATTATGCTTTTGCCTACGAATCTTCTCTTAAAGATTTCATCACATATATTTTTACCATACCACTATTGGCGGATCGTGTCGAAGCTTTGGAGCTTCTTTCTTCAGAAATGCCATTATATGATATCATATCAGTAATAGCCAGTAATGATTGGAATGCTGAACAAGGAAGTATTTTATTGAGTAATTTGCTGGCCTTTACACGTCTTGAAGTTAATAAAATGAACGATTCGGCATTGGTATGTAGTATGATGCATCTGTGATCTTCCTATAGTTACATACCCTGCAGAAAGTGTTATGTCAAAATAAAATAAATACACTTTTTACCCGATACTTTTTGCAAGGCGATGTATATTATTATTTGTTCCATTAATTTAATTATATTATTACAGCTTGCCTACTTGACGGTCCTTCAACGCCTATTTTTACGAATACCAGATCATTTACTTGCAGACAGGACAACATCAAGTATATGAGTGATTTATTTTATATAATTCAAGGATTTTTATACTATAAATTTAATAATGGTCGCTATACTTATTTTTTGAATATCAGCAAATCATGACGATGATGATGACGACGGCGATAATAATGATGCAATAATCCAAGATCGTCCAGAATCATTTGATGAACCACAAATTGATCCGAGCATTCTAAAGTGGATTTCCGTCTTAATCGACGATAAACATTTGGGATCTGTTTTGGCGTTTGCAAGGTCCGCAAATACAACGGCTCTACTCAAAATTTCATATTTTTTATCAACTTTGATGA